TTCATTGTTTTTTGCGGTATTGTAAAATACATTCGACGAAATTTGCTGCAAAATATGCGAAAAGCTAAAAAATGAGTAAATTTAATATTTTCCTGCCGGGTTACTGTCGCACTCGTTTCAACTGTTTCCGGTTGTTTACGCTTTCAGATATTTGTTTACAAACATCGCATACACTTCGTCTCAACCTTTTTTTCTCTGACAAGGATAATATAGTCTTTTTTATTATTTGCAAACAACATTTCACCATGTTTCTTATCAATGACACATTTCTCTTTTCCCCTATTTGAAGGTTTTCTGAAACTTATATATTTCATAACCCCCATTTTCATCCTCTAAAACTATGGAAATTTCCCTATTGGATATCCCTGAAGTGGCTATGGATCGAATTTTGGAAAACTTGGATTTCATAACAATGTGAGTCACTTTTCAACGAATTTCGCAATATTCAGAAACTTCCAGACAGATCCTTCGAAAAGTTTGCCACGATCTTCGGAACTATATAGATGATAAGGTTCCTGAATCCAACATTTTAAGATTATCCATTCATTTTGCCATGCGCTGCATATTTGTCACATATCAAGATTTTTCTGGACAATTTGAAATGGAATACGAAGAATTTGATGGAAAATCAACGCGTTTAAAACAATCAAGAAATCAGAAAATTCTGGAAAATTTGAATTTCGAAGAAGCTTTTTTAACGGATCTTCAGCTAATTTTACGTCATCAAAAGGGGATTCTAGAGAACTTAATGGTCCGATCATTATTGACCACATCTCAAAGTTTTCGCGAGTTTCCCAAAATTTTGAAATCCCGCAAAAAGCTTTTGCGAGTCAAAAACTTTGAAGTCTACCTCAAGGATGAACTATCTTTACAACCAATTTTGCCATTTTTGGATTCTAGTTTTCTAAAAACCATTTCCATATATAACAGTACCATGAACCCAGATTTTTTGGAATTTAAAGAAGATGTTTGGGATTTGGATCAGTGGAAAAAGGCCGAGAAATTTTATACATCCAGAAGACTAACAATAGCATCTCTGGAGCATTTTGGACACTTTCAGGCAGGATTTATTAGAATCAAAGCAACTAATTCTAATCAAATGGTAGATTTGAAAAAGGTTCGTCGGTTGTTCTTCTCAAAAAAGTATGAAAAAGAGAATAAACCCAAGGGGGATTGAACTCCGCACCTTGTGATTGACAACTAAAACGCTAACCACAGCGCCATCTGCGCAACTGGGGACTAGGAGTGCGAGGTAGTAGCCAATCGCGCGGGGGAGAGGATGGGAACGTTTTTCAAAATTTTAGTACAGTTTTTTTTTTCAGAAATTCCAAGGCAATCCGAAATTCCGAAGCTTCCGTGTGGATTTTCAGGAATTTGACACAATTCTCGAATTTTTTAGATTTTTGGGACCTGCTCATCAGTTTTATGGCGAGAAAAATGGTTTTTCGGGGTGGAGAATCCCGAAAAATGTTTATCGATTTTTTATGATCTACCCAATAGGCAGTTCACATTTGCACAAATCGATAGGGATCGTGTTCCGAGTAATGCGATAATTCAGGAGTGATTTTTTGGAATTTTTTGAATAAAGTTACATCTGTAAATCATACAAATTCGTTATCAAAATGCTGGAAATTGTATTCTGAACTCACAATTTGAATTGTTTCTAAAAAATCTTAAAAACCTCAAAACATTTTGAAATTAGAAATTTAAATTTTTAAAAAATTTCCCAAAATGGTTTTTTCATCAGAATCGACTGTTATCAATGACAAACTGTCAATTTTTAAAATTCCCATTGTTTCCAACTGCTCCAGAACACACCCTTATCAGTTTGTATCACCCCGAACAATAGAATTTAAAATTTTTCCTTAAAAATTTGAATTTTCAAAAATTAAAAATTTTGTAGAATATTGAGTATCTCCCCAAAACAAACAAGTGTACTATTTGCTCTCATCTCTCGCACCTGAACGTCAGCGCAAACTCATTTATACGAATAGTAGAAAAAAGTGGGCGGAGCCTATACATTGTTTCAGGTGGTTTTTGGGTAATTCTGACCTGATTTTTTGCTTTTTCGAGTGTTTTTTAGGCTTGGGAGTGCCCTAAATCAGCTACCCTCCAAAATAAGAAAATCCTTATCTCCGATAAAATTAGGTATTCATATGTCTCAATTGTCAATCAAATGTTACAAATGACCTGGTATTTTGATATTATCTTCTTTTTTTTCTTTTTCTCTTTTCCCCACACCCTTCTTCTTTTCCTACTATTACACCCCTTCATCTTCTTCTTCTTCTTCTTCTTCCCCGAAAATCGCCAAATCAGCCGACGAGGGAGCACGCGGAACGCGGAGTGCGCAGAGAAAAAGTGTGCATTTGTGGGTGGCCGTGTTTGCGGACACCAGATGAGTGGGAGCCAGAATTGTACGAAAAATTTGGCGACCTTATCGATTTTCGGCGTTTTTTCAAATTTTAGTTTTGCCAAATTCGAGAATTGGGGGTTTTTGGGGTTTTCGACATCGAAAATCTCGATTTTGAGATCAGAAATGAGATTTAGAGCGCTGGAAACCTAGAAAACCCAGAAAGAAATTTGAAAATCAGTGAGTTGGCAAGTTTTTTGTCAACTCACAAAATTTCAACCTGAATTTTTGTAGTTTTTAAAGAATTTTTGGAGCGATCAAGAAGCTGAAACTGTGTGAAAAGCAATATTTTTCCCTATTTTCATTCGGAATTCTGTAAAATTTTCTTCTCATTTTTCAGCTCATATCCTTGTTTTTTTTTGTTGTGTCGCTCTTTTTTTATGTAAAATTGGCTTTTTTTCAATTCTAACCGATTTGTATTGCTAAAAACCCATTTCCCACTTTCAGAAGATGTCTGAAGACCCTTCATCAGCTAAAAGAAGAAAAATCGACGATATCGAAGAAGAAGAAGAAGACGTCATCGTCCAGGACGACGCGATAGTCGAGTTTCCAGAGGAGCCAGAAGACGAATCGGTAAGCCATTCAAGTGTTTTTGATTTGAAAACCGCTGGATTTTCGTAAAAATAGCCCAGATTCCCATTTTCTAGACCTAAAAACGCTATTCCAGACCTATTTTAGCTCTAAAAACATAATTTTCAGTCACCAATCGTAGCAGAAGAGTCCGGACCACTGGAAATGCCAAAGAGGCATGAGGAGCCAGCCGAACCGGATGTTGATATCGTTGGAGACGTGGATGAGGAGGAGCCAGAGGTAACTAGAGCTCGAAATTGCGTTTTTCCCTCCAAAACTTCCCCAAAACCTAAAAATTCCCCATTTCCAGCATCTGCTACACCCAGAAGACGATGAGCTCATCCCAGACGAGAGTTCATCCGACGAATTGATGCGTACACCGACGAAGAAGCGTTTCTCATCACGCGTTCCCGAGCAGGATCATGCGAATTCCGATGGCGAACGCGTCTTCTCGAATTTTCCGTGTCAAGTGATTCCAGAAACTCTGGGCAGAATGACCCGGACGCCTCCAGAAGGCGAGAATCTGATTGTCTACAAAAATGCGAACGGACGTCTTCGAATCTTCGTCGAGGGTAACGGAAAATCGTATTCCGTCTACAGTAACCTGACCCATAAACCGTGTACGGTGTGCAATCGAATCATGAAAATCGGCGAGATGCATTTGAATTTCCCGGCTGATTTAGATCGCCGGAGAATTTGGGCGAATTTGTTGGGATTCAAGTATAAGGACATTCTGCGCAGTAAGATGGGGCCTGTATCGTTCTCCATTGCGGCTGGGCCAATTTGTACGGAACACTTTGCAGAGGAGTGCTTTCGAAATCATAATTTCAATAAATCTGCGATTGAGGCGTTCGGCGTGCCGGTGGCGATATCACCAGATGTTAAGACGACTCCCAGCAAGAAGAGGTAAGAGATTGAGCCCGAAATGAGTCGAAAAATCTAGAAATCGTCGGATTCAGCCGTGTTTTAGCTGTTTTTATCCTTTGAAAACGGGATTTTTGAGCTCAAAATGACCTCAAGTTAATGGATTTTGAACTGAAAAACACTGAGTCAAGTCGGTTTTCTGGTGTCTAAAAATGTCCTTTTAGGCTCAAAATGACCCAAAATTCAAGAATTTCGGGCTTAAAAATGCTTCCTTCAGATCTGATTTTAGCTATAAAAATTGGATTTTTTAGCTTGAAAGCTTAAAAATGCGCGCTGAGCTGAAAAACGCATATTTAAAATCTAATTTTTGCTATAAAAATGTGGTTTTTAAACTTAAAATGTACCCAAACATTGTCAATTTTCGTGAAAATTTGACCTAGAAAAATCAAATTCTCCGAATTTTGCGCTGAAAATCGTCATATTCAGCGCCGGGTTTCAACTGTTTTCATCCTTTAAAAAATGGATTTTTTTAGCTCAAAATGGCCCGAAGTTGATGGATTTTGAACTGAAAAACGCATACTTAAAATCAGATTTTGGCTCTAAAAATGCTATTTTCTAGCTTAAAATCACCGGAAACATAAGAATTGTGGGCTTAAAAATTGGATTTTTTAGCTTAAAATCACCCGAAATTCAATAATGTTTAGGCTGAAAAACGCATATTAAATCCTTTTTTTGGCTCTAAAAATGTTATTTTCTAGCTTGAAATCACCCGAAATTCAAGAATTTTGAGCTGAAAAACGCATATAAAATCCATTTTTAGCTTTTATGCTCAAAATGACTTAAAATGGAGGATTTTAAGCTTAAAATGTACCTAATAACCCCATCTTTGTACCCAATGACCGCCCGAAAGTTGTTCCAGAGTTCCATGGGTGTGTACGATTTGTGATTTCCACTCGTGCAGTGTCGTCGAACTACAAACCCATTTGTTGGACCACACCGAGGAGATGTTGAAGAAAAAGGACAGTTTGGTTGATGTGAGTTTGAAATAGGCGTCCTAAATTTTAGAGATCTGTGTGTCCAGATGTCTCAAAAAATCCTTCAGAAATTGATAATTTGACCCAGAAATGATAAATAATTTCTGAGAAATTTTGATCTAGAAAATCAAGAATTTCTGAGCTAAAAATCGTTGTTTTTAACCTCAAAACTGGGATTTTCAAAAAATGAAAAATCGATAATTTAAACCACCGCCCAAAGTTCCAGGTACCCGAAGCCGGTTTCATGTGTCCATTCTGTCGAAAATGTACGTATGGGTACAAGACGATTTCCGGATACCGACGTCATCTGAACGCCGGACCCATACACCACTGCCACTTGCGTAGGATCTACGAATTCGCGAAAATGAACTGCCGAGCTACAGAACTGGATCCAGTGGATTCCTGGGACAACTGGACGAGAAGGAATGTCTACGTGGCTTACCATGGATGTGAACCTCCAGCCAATGAGATCGTACTAACACCATCGCCAACGAAGAAGGCGTACACTCAGAATCCGGAAGAGAGGACGAGAATGGTTCATGACGCGGAGAGACGGAAGAAGGCGGTGCGGAGTTTGTCGTTTGTAGGGAAGGAAGGGGGAACGAGTGTAAACGATCATAACGTGATGCAACGGCAAGTCTATCTCCAAATTCGACGAGAGTTGGAGCATGCGAAGAAGACGGAGGCGTTGTCGGAGGCAGGGCTGGCTAGTGGAGATTTGAGAAGACGTGTTATTGGAGGAATGGGAAGAGCAGAAGGAGGAGGTGGAGAGGATAATTGGCTTGAGTCGATGGGAATGGAAGAGGAGCAAATCGAGGAAGAGTGAGTTTTGATAGGAAAATTGGCTAGAATTCAAGGCTGAGCAATGAGCCAAACATGGTGGTTTTAGGCTTGAAATCGACAGAGAAAATGAGATAAAACAGCTAGCTTTTGAGCCAAAAATTTTGGATTTTTTGAAAAGAGGAAGGTTTAAGCTGAGCAATGAGTCTCAAAACCTTCATTCTGAGCCAGATTTTGAGCGAAAATATGGAATTTTTCGCTAGAAATTTTTTTTAGAAAATGTACATTTTAAGCTGAGCAATGGGCCATTTTGAGCCAAATTTCGAGCGAAAATTGGGGTTTTTTGCTGGAAAAAGCATCTAAAAATATCTATATTATGCTGAGCATTAAGCCATTTTGAGCGAAAAGATGTGATTTTTTGCTAGAAAAATTGTCTGAAATATATATTTTTAAGCTGAGCAATCAGTGTCGTTTTGAGCAAAATCTGGAATTTTTTTGTCAAAGAACTTTAAATTTTAAGCTGAGCAATAAGCCTTGCAACCTTTATTTTGAGTCACATTTCGTTTGTAACAATGGGAATTTTGCGAAAAATTATCTGGAAATATGAATTTTAAGCTGAGCAATGAGCTTAACGATATTCATTTTGAGCGGAAATCTGGAATTTTTGACTAGAAAAATTATCTGAAAACTGAATCTTAGGCTGAGAAATTGCCCATTTTCAGCCAGATTTTGAGCGAAAATATAGGATTTTTGGCTAGAAAAATTATCTGAAAAATATATATTTTATGCTGATCAATGAGATTTTTTGAGCCAGATTTTGAGCGAGAATCCGGGATTTCTTGCTAGAAGTTTTGAGATTTTAAGCTGAGCAATGAGACAATCTCGAATCTAGAATTACGATTTTCAGATTTTCAGCTCTCCTAATTAAATAATTTTCCAGCACCTCCGACCCACAAACACCAATGGGATCAGCGGAAAAGAAGTCGTCATCACAACCCACACCAATCGCCACGTCATCTGTCACATCGTCGCCAGTCAAAAAACCGATTCTAGAAGTGAAACCAGCTGCTTCTGCACCACCAACTCCAGTCAAAAAGCGTAAAATCGCTCCAGCCACTGTGGAGCCAAAGGCGCCGCCACCAGAAGACGCTCCAGAAGACACTCCAGAAGAGGTGGCGATCTCATCAGAAGAAGCACGTGAACGTCAGAAGCTTCGAGATGAGCAATTCGCGGAGATGGTACAGAAGCGATCCCAGCAAGTGAAGCGGTTGATAAATGCGAAGAAGTTCAAAAAATCGGAACGATCGCCTCAGAAGCCGCGGAAGGCGTTGCAGTACACACTGATGAAGGGAATCACGTCGAGTGGGGAAGCAGTGACGTCATCGGTAAGGCAATTGGCTCAAAATAGGGCCTAAGGCAGCCTGAAAATAGGCTAAAATTAGCAATTTTTCCAGGTGGAAGAAGGAAAATCGCCATCGACACGTGATCAGTCTCCAGAAGCACGCTCATCACCGAAACCATCCACCTCTACCGCCAAAAAGACACACCAATCTGCTCCTGCAGTTCGTGTCACCCGTAGTCAAAAAGCTGGAATTCCAACGCCACCAGCGCCTCCAAAATCCAATAAAGCACCAGAACCAACTGCTCCAGAATCTTCAGAATCCTCACAAAAATCATCTGCTCCAGAATCCCCAGCTCCAGAATCCCCACGAGCTCCCGAAGAACGTCCATTGAAGTCGATGCTCGCGCGATCTCTGACCGCTGGAGTCCGTCCTTCGATGGCTAAATATCACGTGCCATTGGAACAAGAAAAGCCATCTGGAACGACGTCTTCTGGAGTTCCAACAGGCGCGGGAACGGCGAAATCGATCTCCACCGGGTCTATATTACCTAGACGTGCTGGATCATCGTCGCCTGGAGGAATATTCTCGCAGAGGGTTATGGGTGCAGTTGCTCAGGAGAAGGGAATGTCCAAACGACCGGTAAGTAGGGAAATTGGGGGGGGGGGGGGTGGAATAGGTCTAAAAAGCGAGAAAATCTGATTTTGATGTTGAAAATCGCCAAAAATCGACAATATTTTCAGTCAGTCCTCGCCCGCCGTCCACTGATCCTCTCTCCAAGAAAACGTGGCTCCACAACTCCTCGCCAAATGTTCTCTCATCACGAATCCTCTCCATTGATATCCGCATCATCACCAATGGGAATGACAGCGTCTTCTTCCCACGACGACATCATCATCTCTGCGAAAGACCTGGAAGTTGGAATGATCGAAGAGGTCATCGATTCGGTGGCTTCTGGAAACGCGACGACGTCAGATGACGTCCTCATTCATGGATCGGATCGTGCGTTGACACTGGTTGAAGCTCTGGCAGGAGGCACTGGATCGGATGTGAAGGATCAGGATTTCGAAGAGATTACGAAGAAGATGAACGAGGACAATCATTATTATCGTGCCATGGAGGACGCGATTCGCGGGAGAACGGTGACAAAAATGCGGGCAGATATGCGGCTCTCCAGACAGTGTATCAGACAAATTGAGGCTGCTAGAGCGAGGTTTGTAGGCGGAAAATGGCGGTTGTAGCTTTGAAATTTGGAGTTTTTAGCTTAAAAATGACTATTTTCAAGCTAGAAATGTCTGGAAATGTCAAATTAAATGCTGAAAATGGCATTTTTAGTCTTTTTAATTTCGAATTTCTAGCTCTAAAATGACTCTCTTTTCAAGCTAGAAACGACAAATCAAACACGGAAAATTTCAATTTTCCAACTTGGTTTTTTTTCTAAATTGAGGATGTATAATTCGATGCTGAAAATTACGTTTTTCACATTGGAACATCGGAATTTCTAGCTCAAAAATGGTTATTTTCAAAAATGTCAAATTAAATGCGGAAAATTTGAAAATTCGAAGCTGAAAATGTCGTATTCCAGTCTAGAAATGTCAAATTTAATGCTGAAAATTGCGTTTTCCAGACCGAAATTTCGGATTTTCCAGCTCGAAAATCCCCATTTCCGAGCTAGAAATTGATATAGGAAATATCAAAATTCGATCTGAAAATTTCATATTTTCAGCTAGTTTTTACCAAATTTTCAGCCCATTTTTCTAAAAATTCTAAATTTTCATTCTATAATTTTGCAGAGCCCGTCTGTTTGGAGAAGGAAGCGAAGGCGACTATCAGATATGGTTCAGCAATGATGGCGCTCAAGTGGTGAGTGTTTTTGTTTCATTTGCCGAGGACATCTGGATTCATGGGAATTCGGATGGACAGATTTCTATTTCTAGGCTTAAAGTCTAGATTTTCAGCGTTTTCTGGGCTGAAATTTGGTGATTTTTAGCTCAAAAATGTCTATATTTTTCTGTCAGAAAATAGAGAATTTTCCATTTTTTCGATCTGAAAACCGAAGCAATTTCAACTTTAATAATTTTTTTCGGGCCAAAAATCGCGAATTTTCCATTTTAGCCCCGAAAATTCTAATTTTCCATTGAAAAAATCGATTTTTCAAACGATTTTTTCATTGAAAACATCAAAAATGGCATGTGTCTGTGTCTATTTTTATTGTTATCGAAAACATGTTTGTTTGTCTTTCACTCCCCTCTTTTTATCTCATTTTTTATCTATCGAAACGAAAAATTTTTTGTGTTTGATCTAGAAAATTCCATATTTTTTACTCAAAAAAATCTGAAAATTTTCAATTTTTCAGCCAAAAAAAACACAGATTTTTTTTCAAAATTTCCCTCAAAAGACACTGAAAATGTTTCCAAAAATCGATTTTTTTTAAAAAGCTGAAAACGCCGAAAAATCCCCGATTTTTCTATCAAAAATCGTCGAATTTTCCCAAAAACAAGTCTCGAAAAATTCGATTTTCCATGTTTTAAAAAATCTGTAAATATCCGAATTTTCGCCCTGAAAATCCCAAATTTTCCACAAAAAATTCTAAAAAAATTTTTTTTTTTTGAAAAAACTGAAAATGCCGAAAATGCCCAGAATTTCCTGACTTTTTCCTCGAAATGGCCTCAAAAATCCATAAAATACCCTAAAAAAAAACAAAAAAAAAACCAATTTTTAAAAGCTAAAAACCCCCAAAAAAATTTCTCAGATTTTTTCCCAATTTTTTGAAAAAAATTCCAATTTTTCAACCAAAATTTTTGGTTAAAATTTCAGATTTTCCCTAATTTTTATCTCAAAAATTCCTCGAATTTTCCCCTGAAAACTCAAAAAATCGATTTTTCAGCTTCATAAAAATAATCCAAAATGGAAGGATCCCCAGGACAATCCACAACAACCGGGACCATCGACATCTTCCTCTTCTCATCAAGCCTAATTAACCCCGTAATTGGCCCTAATTACCCCATCCGAAAATCATCCAATTTTCTTTCATGTTACAATCTCTGAGCCATCATCGTTTCATCGTTTTTTTCCCTAATTTCTTTGATTTTTTCAATTCTAAGGTACCCCAATTATCCCCCTTTTTCACCCCTAATTATCTCCCAATTACTGTAAAATTTCCAATTCTTTTCGCGCCAAATTTAAGCTCCGCCCCCTTTATCCATTATCCCAAAATTGTTACCCCCCAAAAATTGCAGATTTTCGTCTAGATTTCTAGCTTTTTTCCATTTTCCAAATTAATTATCGATTTAATTATCCCTAACTATCCCCAAAAATTCAATAAATCCAGAGACCTAGAAACGTCGCTAAATTTCTTTCTCCTATCCCCAACCAAAAATAAAATTTCCCATTTTTTTTGTAAAATTTTCCTTTTGAAGCACTAATTGGGTAATTAACAATGTCCTAAATTTAAATTATTTTGAAAAATCACTGAAATTTTTGAAATTAAAAAAAAAAAGGTAAAAAATTCAGATGACGGATTCTGCGACATCGTCTTCTGGAGCCTCCGCCACGACGTCATCTGAATTGAAAATTGAGGATTTATTTCATCAGAAACGGAATGAGGACTCGATTACCAAGATATTTTCAGCGATTTATGCGCCAGTTGGTAAGGGAAATTCGGCTGAAAATTTTTTAAAAATCTGAAAATCGAAAAAAAATGTTTTTTTGAAAGTTTTTAATTATTGTAAAATGAACATTTTCAATGAATTTCAGTAACTTTTTGAAAAAAAAAAGCGATAAAACATCTGAAAATCGAAAAAAAATTTTGGCTTAAATTCTGAAAAAAAAATCTGAAAATCGAAAAAAAATTTTTCAAAAAAATTTTTTTTTGTAATTTTCACCTCGAAAATGAATGATTTCAAGAGGTTTCAGCTTTTTTTCATTTCAAAAAATCTGAAAATCGCAACAAATTTGACTGAAAATTTGAAAAAAAATCTGAAAATCGAAAAAAAAATTTTCATAAACATTTTTTTTTTTGGAATTTGAAAATTTCAGCTTTTTCTGCCAAAAAAAAAAACTAATAATCGAAAAAAAAAATTTTTAGAATTTTCAAAAATGTTTCCAGGAATCATCATATTCCTGTTCCGCTGTTTCCTTGGATTCCACACGTTCCTCGTCGCGTGCCTCCTCCGAAAATCTGGCGTTTTTCGAATGCACGCTCTACGGACGATGTGCTCGATTCTGGGAATTGTGGTGGAGAAGAGAGGGGAGAGGTTGGTCTTGAAAATTGTGAAAATCTAGAAAACTGATCACAATTGAAGAAAAATGATTGGAAAATAGTGAAAAATCAGCTGAAAAGTACCTAGAAATTCGAAATTCTCGATTTGTGATGAAAAAAAAATTAATTGAAATCCCGCTAAAAGTGACGCAAAATCACCGAAAAGCATTGAAAAATGGCTCAAAAACGACCGGAAAACGATAAAAATGAGCTGAAAATATGTAAAAAATCATGAAATTCGGTTAAAAATCATCTAAAATCGTCAAAAATGACTCTAAAATGACCAAAAAGACCGTTTTCCGATCAGAAATTACAAAAACTATCAACATAGACTACAAAGACGACACAATTAACAAAAATGAATCTGAAAACCTTGAATTTCTAGTGAAAAATCATCAGAAATTGGTCTAGAAATCTAAGACTACAAAGACTACACATTTTTCAGAAAAAATGAGTCTAAAATCCTAAAGTTCGGCTCAAAAATCATAAAAAATCGTAAAAAATGAGCTGAAAATTGTCTAGAAACCAAAGACTACAAAAACTATAAAAACTACAAATTTTTCAGAAAAAAAAATTCGAAAAATCAAAAATTCTGCCCCAAAATCATCAAAAATTGTAAAAAATGAGCCAAAAATCAGCTGAAAATTGTCTAGAAATTGTAGACTACAAAGACTACTAAAACTACGAAAAATACACAATTTTTGGAAAAAAAAGCTTTTAAAAATCGAAAATTCGGCTCAAAAATCGCCTAAAATCGGCCGTTTTTCACCACTTTTTGACACACTACAAAGACTACAAAAACTACAAAATTAACAAAAATGAACCTGAAAACCTTGAGTGTTCAGTGAAAAATCACCATTTTTGATTCAAAAATCACACCTGAAATCATCAGAAAATGGTGTAGAAATCGTAGACTACAAAGACTACAAAGACTACAAAACTGCACACATTTTGGAAAAAAACTTCTAAAAATCGAAAATTCGGCTCAAAAATCGCCTAAAATCGTGAAAAATGAGCTGAAATAGTCTAGAAATCGAAGACTACACAGACTACAAAGTTTCAAAATTTTGTCTCAAAAATCAGTCATTTTTCATTTAAAAAAAAATTCAAAAAGACTACAAAAAGACTACAAAATTCCATTTTGCAGAGACGAGACAGCACGAGTGCTGTGCGCGAATCACGTATCAATTCTGGATCATCTGGCAATTGATATTCTGACGCCGTGCCTTCTTCCATCGGTTTGGGACATCCCATCCGTCATTCGATGGTGCTTCGGATACGTGGATTTGGGTGCGGCACGTGGCAGAGACCATCTTGTTAATGGGGTGAGAATGGCTGAAAATCGCTATTTGTCACCAAAAAATCGTTGAAATACGCCATTTTTGACCCGAAACCCCTTGAAATTTTGAATTTTCTGGCTAGGAAATCGTTGAAATCAGCGATTTTTGACACCAAAAACCTCGAAATTTTCAAGTTTTTTGACTGAAACATAGGTGGAAAATCACTATTTTTGACCCGAAAACAATTCTCGAAAAACATGAAATTTTTGGATTTTCTGACTGGAAAATGGTTAAAAACAGCTATTTTCGATTCAAAAAACATAAAAAATCGTTAGAAATGACCATTTTTGACCCAAAACCTCTAAAAATTTGAATTTTATAACTGAGCAATCGTTAGAAACAGCTATTTTTGACCTTAGAAACCCTAAAAATGTGCATTTGTGACCGAAAAAATAGCTAAAATGGGCATATATTTTTGGCCCCTGAAACCCCTGAAAAAGACTGAAAATATCTGAAATTCCAGGCGAAAAAGCTGCTTGCCAAAGAGACCGAAATGCCACTTCTGGCATTTCCCGAAGGAATTATCACCAGCGGAGAGAAGGCGTTGATCAAGTTTAAGTGAGTTTTTCGAAATTTGAATTTGGCGGCGGCCTAGGAGGATTTCTAGGCTACCGAAAAAGCTAAAAATCGCCTAAAAACCGGCTGAAAAAGGCTGAAAAGTCGCTTATGGTCCATTTCTGGAAAGTTCTCGAAAGTTCTCGAATGCTCAGTAACATGAACTTTCTAGGCCACCAAAGTTTACGGCCTAGAAATGGTCTAAAATTCGTCTGGTGTGTTTTCAAGATCATTTAACATGGTGGCCTAGAAAACTCATTCTGCAAAAGTTAGGCCCCCATGTCAAAATGGCCTAGGAAATCTACCAGGTTAATGCCAGGTCATTTCTAAGCCGTGAAAATCGGTGGCCTAGAAAACTCAACTTGCGAAAGTTAGGCCACGGCCTAGAAATGACCTGATGTTCACCTGGTGCGTTTTCTGTGTCATTTTGGCATGGTGGCCTAACTTTCGCAAGTTGATTTTTTTAGGCCACACCGACTTTTATGGCCTAGAAAAAGTTTGAGGTTCACACAATGCAGACAAAATGTGTTCTACAGTAATCCTCGCGAACACAGTCATGTCAAATTTCAGACAAAAAACCGGAATAGCTGAAAACCCTAAAAAGTCTAAAAAATTATTTTTGGCCGAATTTTTAGGGGTTTTCTAGCTATTTTCAGCCAATTTGACTGAAAATTTGGCTAAACATTCCAGCCTATTTTATCCCCAAATTTTCAGCCAAAAAACGTCTAAAAATCACATAAACCAGACGGAAATTGGCTGATGAAATCATGAAATTTGGATAAAAATGCTCCTCAAAATGCTATTTTGGACCCTTTTTGGCTCATTTTCAGCCAATTCCACCCCTCTAAATTTCAGCACATGGGCATTCGAAGTGGCCCCTATCGTCCAGCCGGTCTCCGTGCGTGTCTGGCGTCCGTATCCATGGAAAGTGGCTGTTTCGGTGCTCGGTGCCACGTGGTGGACCGATTTGTTCTACTTTTTCGCCCTTCCATTTACAGTAATCTCGGTGGAGTACCTGCCGAAAATGGAGAAAAAAGAGGAGGTCAGTTGTCGAAAATTTTGATTAAAATTGAGAAAATTTCTGATGAAAATGTTCCAAAAAATCTGAAAATTCAGATTGAAAATCTGAAAAAAAGTCTAAAAATCCTCCAAAAATGCGCTTTTCTTCAGGAATCGCTCGACGAGTTCACCGCCCGTGTTGCCGAAACTCTCGCGGCGAATTTGAAAATTTCGGTGTCGAAATTTGGAATTTCCGATGCTTCTGAAGCGGCGAAACGTCTTCGAACCGACCAGGAGCGCGCCAGAAAGGTTGTCAACAAGGAGAAGGTGAGATTTGGCTTTTTCTGGCTGAAAATGGACTAGCAATCATTAAAACTCCTAAAATAGTGAAAAAAATACCTCAAAGAGTATCTGGAAATCATCTGAAAACGCCTGAAAATGGTCAAAAATAGCTCAGAAATCATCTAAAAAGAGACCTAGAATTGGCTCAAATTGGCCTAGAAAAATTATATTAAATGGACTGGAAATAGTCTGAAAAAGGCCCAAGAATTTCTCTGAAACGGGGCAATATACACAGAAAAGAAAAGGTCATAAAAGTCTGAAAAAACAGCTGAAACGGCTCTAAATCTGCCTGAAATTTCCGTAAAAATAGATCAAAAATAGTCTAGAAATTGTCAGGAAAATTCTCTGAAAACAACCCAAAAAGACTGAAAAAAACTGGCTGAAAATGCTCTGAAAAAAGTCGTCTGAAATGGCCTAAAAATCTTCTGAAAATGGCCATAAACATATACTGGAATAGCCTGAAATAGTCTAAAAAACGTCTAAAGCGGCTTGAAATTTGTCTATTACTAGCTGAAAATGGCCTAAAAATTGTCTGAAATAGTTCAAAATTCGTCTAAAACGGTCAAAAATGACCTAGAACGATTCTAAGAGTTGTCTGAAGCGACCGAAAAACAAGCTGAAAAAAGTAAAAAAAGCCCTTGACATCGTCTGAAAATGACCTCAAAATCGTCCAAAACGGCTCGAAAAGTGTCTAAAATTGTCTGGAATAGCCTAAAATTGGTCGAAATGGCTTAAATCAGACTAAAAATGACCTAAAAATAGGCTTAAAATCGTCAGGAAAATTCTAAAAACTGGCCGAAAATGCTCTGAAAAAAGCCTGAAGTAGCCTGAAAATCGTCTGAAGCGGCTCGAAAATTTGTCTGTAACTAGCTGTAAATGGCCTAAAAATAGGCTGATAGGCTTAAAAATGGCCCAAAAAAATTGTCTGAAATAAGTCAAAATTCGTCTAAAACGGTCAAAAATGACTTAGCAAAGATTCTAAGAATTGCCTAAAATGACCCAAAAAAAACCGAAAATCGTCTGAAAATGACGTGAAAACATTTTAAAAATGCCCTTAAAATCGTTCAAAACCGGCTCGAAATATGTCTTAAAAATTGTCTGAAATCGCCTGAAAATTGGTCGGCATAGCTTAAATCAGACTAAAAATGACCTAAAAATCGTCTGGAATGACATAAAAATAGGCTGGATCGGCCTGAAATAGACGGAAATTTGTCTACAACTATCTGAAAATGTCTTAAAAATGCAGGAAAAACGATCCAAAATGGCCTAGAAAAGATGCATAATAGTCTGAAAAAGGCGGGAAATTGTCTGAAAAATAAGCTGAATGACCTAAAAACTGGCTGAAAAGGTCGGCAGCAGCCCAAAAATAGGCTTAAAACAGGCTGAAAAGGTCGTAAATCGACTAATAAATGTCCAAGAATATGATTCGAATTGGACTAGAAAAGGTCCAGAAAGACCCTAAACATAGGCTAAAAATAGTCTAAAGATTGGCTGAAAATGGCCCAAAAATACCCAAAAAACGAATTCCAGCCCCATTTCCAGTCAAACATTCACCCAAAACCCCAATTTCCAGACGTCGCCACGCCTCCAAGACGCTCGTCAGATGGACGAATGCGCGATGCGCATCAAACAGTCGTTTCCCACATTCCACCTATCAGCGATTCGACGAGATCTAGAGAAAACGCGGAGTCAAACGGCCACAGTTAACAATTTGAAGGCTGGCAAGATTACGGTATCCGCAGCAGATGGACAAGTCGGAAAGGTGAGCAATCGAGGAGGGGCGGGGC